CCCCCCACCCCGCACTCTTCTCTCGCCACCATCGTTAACATTTCCTAACTAACATATATAATGTTATATGAATATATTTAAAAAATACATTATTATTTAATATATTTAATAATATTATTTATTTAATATATTATTAATTTAAATATTATTACATGTTTTTAAAAATTAAACTACCAAACACAATTTCAGTTTTTTTAAATTGAAAACAATCTTAGAATAAAACTACTAAACGTATTTTTAGAAATGATTCAAAAATAAAAATAAAAATATTTTCATTTTTATTTTTATATAAAAAAATAAAAATGTTTTGTAACCAATTCTAGTCCTTCACTCATGACCAGTTGAACTTGTATAGCAGCAAGCATTTTGCACTTGATAACTTTCAGTAAAGTTACTTTGAAGCTATCTGTTGCCGTTTTATTTGTTTTGTTTTGATAACAACTTTTGTTACTATTTTATGCCAGTATTTGATCAAATTCTTGAACTGCCATAATTTCGGTGCAGTGCAGAAATTTAAAGAATTCTGCTCAAAACCAATTGGGCAGGTTTTTTGCATGTTCTTGATAAAAATGAAAATTTGTTTGTTTTTAAATCACACTTGCTAGAAGATTATTGGTCCTTCACTGTTTGCCTCGTGGATTTGAACCATAGTTCTAACATTTTTGCTATATTTCTCTCTCGCTCTCTCTCTGTCTCACTGAAAAATTTTGTTCAAATTTTCTATTTAAACCTGTTAGTAGGGGTAGCAATTCGTGTCACGTGTCGTGTTTGTGTCGTGTTTTGATCGTTTCTTTTTAAATTTACACCCAAACACAACCTGTGAAACGAAATTTTTTAAAAATTGCAACACGAACACGACACGACCACTTTACGAGTTGACACGACACGACCTGAAAATGACTTGTGACACGAAATTGACCCGTGAACCCGAAATTAACACGAAAATTATATACTTTTATTTTAGTTTTTTACATATTAAAAATAACTTAAAATTCATAACACACTAAATTACAAATACATCCATTGAAATTAAGTAAATAATAGTATAAGATTTTGAGTATAACTATCACGATATCACAAGTTCATAATAAAATTTAACATATGAAATGAAAAATATATGTATTTTTTAGTTTTTTACGAGTTTCGTGTCGTGTTCGGGTTAGGCGGGTCCAACCCGAAATTGACCCGTGTTTTTCGTGTCAATTTTAGGTCGACCCAATTCTGACCCGAACGTCTTTTTTCTCAACCCTAACCCGCAAAATTCGTGTCGTTTTCGAGTCGTGTCATCGTGTCGTGACCCATATTGCCGGCCCTACCTGTGAGGTAAACTGCAAAGACTCTAATTATCAGTCCCACTGTGGAGGTTCCGAACACCATCCTGGGATAATAAAGCCAGAAGGGCTAGAAGTTATAACACCCAAGCAAGAATAAAAATGTCGATATTTATGAGAATATCGGTACTTAAATTTTACGAAAATATCTCGATATTTATGAGAATATTGGCATTTAAATTTTACAGAAATGTCGACAGAAATATCAATATCAGTGGAAATTGACGTAAAAAATAGAAATTCATACTAAAACACTCTATTTTCAAATGAAACTTTAAAAATCTTAAAATAGATAATAATAAATTATTTAGATGAAGTTCTCAATCAAAATTCTAATTATTTGATAAATATGCAAGGTAAAGTATGATCATAATACCATAAATACTAAGCACATGTTCACAAATTAAATAAAATAGCTAAAAGTCAACATAATACATATACCATACATATATGGTTTCAAATATGATGATAAATTATCAATGCCAAAAGGATCTTATAGGACGTTGGAAGGTATTTTGAACATATTTTTAGTTTAAACAATATTGATATCAAGATATGGGGTTTGAATAGTTCCTTATATAATTTTTGGACATGGCATATTTTTAGATTTTTTTTAAAAGTAAAATAATATATATATATAAAGTTGTGGAAATTTCTTTGGAAATTTACCGATATTTTTGTAAAATTTTCGTAAAATTTCCATGATATCCGGTAATTTAATCTTACGTTTTATTTGAAAATGAAAATTTCAGTGAAAATATTGATATTTGTAGAAATATTTGTGAAAATTTCAAAAAAATCTGTAGATATATCGGTATTTCTAAAATACAAAAATTTCTGAAAAAATATCAAATTTTTCATCATTGCGCCCAAGAACAGAGTGTGTAGAGTATCCCCATTGCAAGCCGTGGACACCACCGGGTTTTAATTTTATTTGTTTTATTTATTTGTTTTATTTATAGTATATTATCGTCAGATAAGCATTAGTTGTTGAAATTTCCAGTAACACGGGCAGATATTTCAGTAGTATTATGATGGACTACCACATGTACCAGGGTAGGTTATTATCGGTTGTACGGTGGATTATCACTAATACTTTGATATTTGTCAAGAGGATTTCCAGCACAAAAAGAAAAAAAAAATTGTTCTTTGAGAGTTATTTTTGTTAACCTTGTGACATCTATCTATCTATTAAAAAAAAAAAAAAAACAAAACCTATGAATTTTTATTTTTTCATGACACTTTTTCTGTATTATTCTTGTAATCTAACAAGAAATCCTCTGTTAGGAATATTACTGGGAAACGTTTTTTCTGTAAAATCTCTATAAAAATCGAACTGAATTGCAAGTGCAAGTTCTGAAGGAAAAAAATTAAAAAAAAAAAAAAAAACAAAGGAAAAACTATTTTCTTGTTGAAAAAATATTTAGGTCGCACCAGAGTACTGTTTCTTATTGCTCATTAAACTATTTTTTTCTTTTTCTTTTTTTAAATCTATCTCATTGTTTATTGATGTTGTCCACACTTAAGTATTTTTTCATATACTTCTCTAAAATATCACTACATCAAAAGTGACATTGTTAATAAATGTTTTTTTTAACAATCTCTCCACTAAGTTATTTTCTCTTATATATGTATCTAATCTAATATCTTTCTCATGCGTCCTTCTTAGTTATCTCAAATGTATCCCTATTTAATATTTCTTTTCGTTCCTCTTATCAAATATTATTTTCTTAGATGTATTTTCTAAATATTTTAATCTTTAATTTTATCTTATTAATTTTTTTCTTTAAATCTACTATACTTAATGTGTTACAGTTAGATTTAACGAATATAAATCGCAAGTGCTTTCCAACTACTGGTTTTATAAAGCACTGAACATAAAAATGACCGTTCACTTTCTAGCCAAAATTGGGTGTGGTTTTTTTTAGAATTCAAGTCACAACTCAAACTTTTTTATAGGAGTGTTCATAAACCCGAACAACCCGCAAACCCACCTCGCACCGCCCCAACCCAACCCAAAAAAAGTAACCCGCAATATTATTTTTTAATTTTCGGCCTATTATACCTCTGGCCCGAAGTGTTTGGGGCGGATTGTGGGTTGGGCCCATAACAACCCGCAACCCCTAACCCAACCCGCACAACACATCCCCAGGCTTAGTTTGGCCCATTAATATTACTTCTAGCCCGCGCCAGGAATCACTCAGGCCAGCAGGCCTTCGACCCATTCATTACCGCATTAGGGCAGGTAAGGCAAGTGCTCACAAACAGGGGCCTGACATTCGTTAGGGACTTAGGGTTGGCAAGTGCTCAGTGCTCACAAAACGGCAAACCATTCTCTCACACTCTCTTCCCTCATTTCACTGACCTCTCTTGTGTCTCGGCCGCCCCTTTCCCCTCAGGCCTTCAGTCTCACAACTCCCCTTAGGCCTTCAGTCTCGGCCGCCCCTCTCGTGTCTCATCTCGGAGTTGAAGGTAACGAAACCTCTCTCTCTCACTCGCTTCTTTCGCATCTCTATTTTTTTTTTTTTTTTAGTGTTTGTTTGGATTGGAAATTTGATTTCTCCTTTGATGTTTCTCGGTTCGTGATCGAATTGAAGAGTGGCTGGTTGGTCGGAAGAGAATACCGGTGGAGTGGCAAAAGCGATTGGCCGTCGTTAGAGCTCGCATCGCCAAGGAATTCGCTTCGCTTCCCAAGGAAATCGATCCCTCTTTCTTCCAGACCTTAGACTCTAAAGGGTAGTTTCATTTCTCTTGTAGATAACTTAACTTCATGTCCTACTACAACCATTGAGGAGCCTATGGGTGTGGATTGATAAGGATTGTTGCTGTTACAATGCTTGCTTTGGATGGATTTGAATTAAGCATCTATGTTTGCTTTATGTTAAGACTAATTTATGAGTGTAGACAAATTTATGTTTACTTTATATTTGATGTTGGATGGACTACTTTGCTTCATATTTGATGTTAGATGGACTCAAAAGGATGATTGCTATTTCTATTTGATTATGAACTTTGAATGTTAGATTGAACTTTAAGTCTTTGAGTTTTTGAATGTTGAAACCGACCACCCAACCCATCCCGCACCGTCCCAACCCAACCCGAACATCGTTGGGTTGTGAAAAAATTCTAACATTGTTGGGGTTAAATATGTGCAACCCGCACCCTATGGGGCGGGGGGAAAAAAGCCCTACCCTCACTAACCCAACCCATGAAAAGCCCTACTTTTTTATGTGAGAGAAAATATTATAATATAAAAATTAAATTTGAATTTTTGTGAGAGAAAACACTGTAGCAATAGAACTTGAGTTGTGAATGACTCATTTGGTATATAGGTTCAATCAAATAATTTTGATTATAACTTTTAAAATTTAAATTTTTATAAAAACATACTGTAACAGAAAACGTGTTTGGTATGAGAATTCATGACATGATTCGAATCATGATTCGTGACATGGTTCGAATCATGATTCATGACTTGTTACAGTATATTTTTTTATAAAATACACACGTAAACTGATAATAATTTTGACTCATGATTCTAAATCTGTGAACCAAACGTTCACTAAATTTAAACTTATAAAAAACTAATACCAAACACACCTGAAAGGAAGAAGGCCGTCCTAAGTACATCGATTAAAGTAATAGCACTCACTACTGACCTCAGTCACAAAGAGGGCATGAAATCCACATGGAACTCAAGGGCGCAAATCAACACTGATACTTTCAAAAATAATAATTTAGACATATAATATATAATATGGATATTTATTTATATTTCAAAATGCTATCTATTGTTAATTGTTTTCGTGCCTTTTATTCAGCAAAAAATAGGGCTCAATTAGTTCACTAATTTGAGTTTTTAATTCGAATTGAGATGTAATTTTATATGAGAATTTTTTACTATAGTAAAAAGTTAGATATTATTATTTCTTAGAGCTTTTTACTATAATAAAATTTGAATTCTAAACTCAAATCGGCAAAATGAAAAGAACATTAATTTATTGATTTAAATTTTTAATTCTAATTAAGATGTGATTTTATGTGAAAATTTTTTATTGTGATAAAAAAATTAAATGTGATTATTTTTTAAATTTTTTTATTATAATAAAATTTAAATTCTCACATCCATAAAATAAATCGGATATAAATAAATAAATAAAAAGACAGCTCACTCTTCAGTCTCGTACTCCGTAAGCTTCGTGATGAGTAGTTATCCCAATAGAAGTACAGAACCAGAGGTAGGTACGTAGGTAAATTGGGTTGTTAGGGTTTCAAAATCCCCGCCAAATTTCTCCTCCTCGTTCAATGGCTGCTCTCGATAACGACAAATCCCCCAACTCATCCCCTCCGCTGCACCAGGTACCAGCACTACACTCCGACTCAGTTTCCGGCATTACTCCGAAACGCCCTTCATCGGAGATCCCAAACGCCAAGGACTCCATAGCTTCTATAGCCTCCAAGGTCTCTTCCCAGCCTCTCCAGAACTACGATCCTCATGTTTGGGGCGTCTTGACCGCCATTTCCGACAATGCTCGCAAACGCCCTCAGGTTAGCCCTCAAAATCCCTTATTTTATTGAAAAGCATCGATTTTTTTTTCCGTTTGTTTGTCGAATTGTGGTTGGTGAAGAAAGGAAATGTGAAGCAGGGGATAAATATGATTTTGACTTCGGACGAGCATTACATTGGGAGAGTGGTGGAGGATTCGCGGTTCCAGATTGAGTCGTATTCGGTTAGTGCGAAGCATTGCGTGATTTTTCGGAAGAAGGTCGCTAGGGAAGACGACAAAGAATCATCGAATTGCAACACTTCCGTCTTTTTGAAAGATACTAGGTTGTTTATCGTTGTTCAGTGTTTTTTTTTTTTTTTTTTTTTTTTTGGGGTTTCTTTTGGAGTGATTTTATTGGGAATTATGTAGCACTAATGGGACATATATCAATTGGAAGAAGGCAAAGAAGGGTAGCCTAGAAGAAGTTCGTCATGGCGATATTATTTCATTAGCAGCTCCTCCTCAACATGGTAGTAGTTTCTGTGATTTTCCTTTTCTTCAAATTCATTGTCACAATTTTGAACCTAAGTCATAAAGTGATATTTTGCGTGGCCCTTTTGTAATGTAAAATTTGATCAATTTTAGGAAATGTTGCGTGAATTATTTTGATGAGTTCTAAACATTGACTGCTTTCTTTTTTCTTTCTCATATCAACAGAAGTTGCATTTGCATTTGTATATCGGGAAGTTCTTACCCCTGTTGGTAAAGATGGTGCAATTTCTAAAAGAAAAGCAGGTATGGTATGTTGATAGCAAGGCTAAGTGTATATGTCATTTTATGCTTTCATTTTAATGTATATTCCATGTTGCTGTTTTAATACGACTCTCGGATGGTTGTAATTTTCTGTATTCTGAGAATATTGTTGGTCTTAAGATTTATGGATTTTGGAAATGGATCCGCATACTGTTTTCTTTGATCCAATGACATTGTTGTTAAAAAGGAAAACTATAGAGTTAGATGGACATCATATAAGAATTTTCACTTTACTTGGACTTAATGGTTAGAGATGACTTCACCCGTGAAAAAGTTGTCACGTTAAAATTTTAACTTTTAAATTTCTTTCCTAATTTCCAAGATTAAGCATGGTTATTTAAGTAACTTTTTGTTTTTGGGTACAGAGGAACTTGTTGCTGAAAACAAGAGACTAAAAGGTATTGGCCTTGGTGCTCCAGAGGGTCCTATATCTCTTGATGATTTTCGAAGTCTACAACGATCTAACACAGTATGTTGACGTCATATTGTTTCCTTGTCTTGGAAATGTGTTGTATTTAGAATTGTTTTGGTTATTTTGCTTGATGAATAAGAATTTTCAAATTTAGTTTTGAGGATGAAGATCTCATTTGGGACAGAATCAAATGTTGGGTTTCCTTGTTAGCGTTGTCTTAAAAGGAGTCACTGTTAAGTAGTCTAATTTTCTTTAAATATTTCCTTCTGCAGGACTTGAGGAAGCAATTAGAGAATCAGGTTATTACAATAGATAAACTACAAAATGAGAATCGTGCAATCATTGAACGGCATGAAAATGTATAATTTTACTCTTCCTCCATCCTTCTGTATACCCCCCCTTTCCCTTCCCAGCAGTTTATGCTCATCATATGCTTGTAACACTCATATAGCCTTTTCCTTTATTTTCCTTTTTAGCTTGTGTTATTTAAGAGAGCTGTGTTCGTTTATATTTGATGGTTTCAATCTGTAGGAAATGAAAGAGATGAAAGAATCAATTTCAAAATCTTATGCTGACCAACTCAAAGAGTTACATCATATGGTAGAAATCAAACAAAATGAGCTGGTGGAGGTCAATAGAATCTCTGCTGAGCAAAAGCATGCCATAGAAGACCTTAATGAAAGGCTGAGTGCTTCTACGCAGTCGTGTAATGAAGCAAATGAAATAATGAACAGGTTAGCGCTTATTATTTGGTCAAGATAGTGTTACTTATTCTTCAAAGTTTTGAATGAATTATTTGAAACCCTAACTGGTGAAAACACAGGGGCCTCGTTCGTTTCGCTCACTCTAGTTAAGAACTTGAGTGACAAAGTAAATTCATGTGATAGAAAATACTGTAGAATAAAAAGTTGAATTTGAATTTTTGTGAGAGAAAACACTGTAACAAAAACTTGACTTGTGATTTGAATTAACAAAGTGAACGGAACTAGAGTCTTCATTAAACAAGTACTTAAGCCAACAATTGTAATAGTAATAGTTATACTGAAAAGCCAAATTAAATATTATGAGATATTTGGATTAATGATGGACTTGATAGGGTTCAGTGAAGGCATTTGTACGTTTGTTTTATTTCAGTGTGTGCTCCTGTTCATTACAAGAGATTTTATTAAAATCTGTCACTTGGGCACTTAAAATTTCTTATTTTTATCGTAGCATTCCATATTCTCTTTTCTGTGCTGAGTTTACTCCTTTACTCCTCATGGATATGAAGTTTACTCCTTTACTCCTCATGGATATGATTTTCTTTCCACCAGATTGAAGGTTAATGGTTTACTAGTGTAATTGTAACATATGTAAAAAAACATAGTGATAGCATATTCTTTTGGTTGTAGTCAGAAAGCGTCTATAGCAGAACTCAAGGAACAGTTAGATGAAGAACGAGAACAAAGAAGAGAAGAACGAGAAAAGGCTGCAGCAGATCTAAAAACAGCAGTGCAGAGAGCTCTATCAGAGGCTGAGGAGGAAATAAAACGATCATCTGATGCTGCCTTAAGACGAGAAAGAGAGCAACAAGAAGTGATTAATAAACTTCAGGTATGATTGCTTTGTATCTGGTATGAAACTGCTTAATATGTGAATTGTTTTTGTTTTATTGAGTTGAGGAACAATACATTGACTTCTTACCTTTACAGGAGTCAGAGAGAGACAGGTGTTTACTGGTGGAAACTTTGAGATCCAAACTGGTATTGTTTGCAGTATTATAATACATTTTCTTGGAGAATAATGTTCTACTTCATCCGAACTGTTAAGAGGTCTTGTATTGAATTTCTTTTCGGCTGCAGGAAGACACCAGGCAAAAGTTAGTTGTCTCTGAGAATAAAGTTCGCCAGCTAGAAACCCAAGTTTGTGAAGTGCAATCGGCCTCTGAAAGTGGGAAGAAAGTAACCATGCTTCTCAAGGCCTCCATATATGCGATTCTATGGTTTTCTTGACCTGCAAATTATTGCTGAAGCTAAACTATTAAACTGTTGTGATTGTTGGTGCAGAGAGTGGAAGAGCTTGAGCTCAAATCAAAACAATTGAGGAAAGAGCTTGAGAGTGAAAAGGTAGGAATGTGAGCCCTTTTAGGTTTGGCAACGTAATGTTATTTTCTTTGGAATGTTCACCAAGTTTTTAAGCTGAGGTATTTCCTGCTGTTGGTAGCAGGCAGCTCGAGAGGAAGCATGGGCTAAAGTTTCTGCCCTTGAACTTGAGATAAATGCCGCAATGCGGGATCTTGATTTTGAGAGACGAAGGTTAAAAGGTGCCAGAGAAAGAATCATGCTTCGGTAAGAATTCTGAATAACGAAATTGTGGTCGTGATTCTCTAGCCATACATTATTTTGTTACAGGATGTGTATTCAGTTAATAATGATGAATTTGTGGTTTCCATGCAGGGAAACTCAGCTTAGAGCATTTTATTCCACAACCGAGGAGATCTCAGTGCTGTTTGCTAAGCAGCAGGAGCAGTTGAAGGCAATGCAGAGGACTCTGGAAGATCAAGAAAATTATGACAATACATCAATTGATATCGACCTCAATCTGCCTGTTGGGGATATAAACAGAAGCCAACACCTTGAAGAAGCAGCAACTGAAGACCCTACTAATAGAGTTACCAAAGCAGGCTCGTCTGCTCGGGGGATTGGCATAATTCAAGTTGAAACTTCGAGTGATGAAGCCAGTGTTACTGAGAAGCATGATTGTGGTGTTGGAAGCCAAGGAGGCCACCAAAATACTCAAGAGGCAGAAGAATTTACAAGCGCAGCGGACAACCGTGTCAAGGGTGGCTTTGGTTCTGATATAGATGGAGTTGGAACTGCACCAGTTGGAGACGGAGATGATGTTGGCACCGAACAAGTTCCTGAAACTGAAAGTCCCGGAATCAGTGAACAAAATATTGATCTGAACAAGAGTGGCAATTTCCAAGGAGATACCATGCAACTTGACGAAGAAGCCCACCTACAAGAAGCCGATGAGCAGGGTCAAATGAGTTGTCAAGGAGAAACTTTGAGAAATTCCGAGACTAATAGTCCCTTGGAAAATCAAAAGGGCATGGAAGATACAGAAGCTGGAGGCACAATCGGGACGGCAGATCTTCTAGCTTCTGAAGTTGCTGGTAGCTGGGCCTGCAGCACAGCCCCTTCTGTCCATGGAGACAATGATTCTCCAGGTAGAGACGACAACGACGGAGCCAGTGCCACCCTACATGACTCCAACTTGCAGGTGGCTGAGAGCCAAAGTAACCCATCATCTGAGGCGGCTCTTGTGAGATGGAATCATGAACGTCAAGCATTGTGTGAAATGATTGGAATTGTTGCTCCTGATTTGAAGGAGCAGTTTGGTGGTGGTATGAGTGAAGATAGGAGTGAAGATAATGATCAACAGGGAGGATCGAACTCAGATACTGAGAGTTGCTCGGACAATGATGAAGAGAAGAGGGCTGATACAAAAGGTGGATCGATATCAGATGCAGAGACTGTGGGTAGTTACCAAGACGATGAGAACCAAAAACTGAATGATGCAATGGATGAAGATAAATAAGTTACACAAGAAGATAGTCTTGCATAGTTCTTGCGTGTATATGTATGTGTGTGAGATAAAGAAGTTACAAAGATTTGTTTTTTGTCCTTTTTTGTTTTTTTTTTGCCTTTTGCCTTTGGCCTTTTGTTTCTTAATTAGATAACACTTTCATGTATTTACGATAACGGTGTACATAAGCAGCTATCTGTGCCTTGATGTTATCTGCGGAAATTTTTGTCCTTTAAATAATCTCGATGCTTGCAAGCACAGATTATGATGCATTTGGTACTCGCCTTTCGGCAAGGGGAAATGCCCTACAAAAGATGATGTCCATAATGATAAAAGAAAAAAAAAAAGAAGTAATCATTGTCATAAAAAAGTGCGTTTGAAATTGATTTTTGTTTGTTTTTAAAAACGTTTTTGCACACATTTTGAGACACAAAAATGAAAAAGGTCTACAAATTGTGTTTATTTAGCAAAAAAGCAGTGAGAATAAAATTTGTGAAAGAATTAGAAAACAGTTAAAAGTTATTTTTTCTTTTCTGTTTTTATTTCCTAGTATTTATCAATTATAATATATTAATTAATAATTATAACCAAACACGATTTTATTTTTTTATTATACTCAAAACAATCTCTTAAAAAATCAACCAAACGCAATTTTAGAATTAATCTCAAAATGATTCCTAAAACAATCTTATTTTTATTTTTATATTAAAAATAAAATCATTTTAAAAACCTTACTAAATGGGCTTAGTATTCATAGTCATATGACATATGGATAAATGATGTCATTTCAATTGTAGCAACGCTCTGCAATGTCGTTTGGACGACACCGTCTTGGAAAACAGTCGTCTATGAAAACAGTGAAAATGCGATGCCGAAATTAATGTCGTTATCTTAAGAAACGATGTTGTAGAAAAAAAAAATGATTCCAATGGAAAACAATGATGCATAGAAGGTATGCGCCATGCGGAAATCATACAAAAGACAATGTCGTATTGAGCATTAAGTCGTATGAATACTCATTGCGTAATATGATGTCGTCTGGAAAACAATCTCCAAAATGGAAAGCACTATCCTACGAGTAGTGACTGTAATGTTGTATGCTAACACGTCGTATGAAAAAAATAAATAAAATCCTTTTATAAGTTATATCCTGTGCAAAACAATTTCGTATACCCCTAAAATCGGATACAAAATCAATGTCGCATAAAAAAAAAAAACAAAACGTAGATGGTAAATAGTCGTAAAATAAACGTTGTCGTTTATGAAAAGATGTAGTACAACAAAATCATTGAGGATCAAAACGATGTTATAATGTCTATAACGAAATAGACTCGTTGACAAGTGGAAAGAGTTTATGGCCAATGTTGTCAAATGGAGCAGTGTATAACGAAATAATTTACGTGCGAAAACGGTGTCGTTTGATATAAAGTGATATCTATGGAAGATGATGCCGCTCGGAGAATGTTGTTATGTCTTGAGGAAAACAGTGGCGTATGATAAATATTGTTGTATGGACGGTGTTGTCGTATGGAGAACCTACTTTATACATATTTATACTGTCGTATAACAAAATCAGTGTCGTAGAAAAAACTATGTTGTATGAACTTTCGTCTGTAGGCAGAACAGACAAAAATGTTCGTATGATCCAATCATTCACTCAACTGACTCAATCTAATTATTTTTACGGAATTGGTTTTTATTTCTTCATAACCGACTTAAATTAGATCAGATATTAATTTATGTTTAAAATATCCAATCTAAACCAATCCAATCTGTATGTGAAAATTTATAAATATATATGTATTTATCTTACATATTATTAGTACAAAAATTCAAAGTTTATTTTCTTCAGTTAGATAGATGAACGTCTTACAAAACACGAGTTTAAAAGCTATTCAATTATAAACAAAATTCATAATTGAACAAACTAGTACTATAATGACGAAATCATTATGGTAAAACTATAATTTTCGGGAATATTTATTCGTCATATGACGCGGTCATATCGTAATGATTCTTTCATTAGTTTAAAAATTTACATTTATATAAATATTAAAGAAAAGTGTAATAGTTTTAAATTAAGAAAATTACTCAACTTATTTTTAAAGTATATGTATCTAAATTTTTATCTCTTACTATTGAATAATACTATTTTAATTAATATAATTATTTAATTAAAAAATAATATTAATTAAAAATAAGAGATAAAAAGATTTATGTAATTTAAATGATATTTGTTTCATTTTTCCTTATAAATTAGAGGTTCAACACGAATCATTTGTGTAATTTTTTTTTTTTTTTTTTTTTTTTTTGGCGAAACACTTTCACACGCTTAGTTCCAACGCAGCTAGAGAGAGAGAAAAAAAAGTGAAAAGGTTTAGAGCTCAATGAAAGGCTCTAGTATAAAATCGACCAAAAAATATAGAATTTATCGTTGAGAGTACATGAGTCTGGACCTTTTATTCTTTATTTTTGATAAATATCATTTTGTTAGTATAATTATCTGACTAAAAAGGTTATAAATCAAGAGTAAATGATAAAAATTCTGACTCATGCACTTTCAAAAAGTATTTGTCAAGATTACCCAAAATTGATTGGTCCAAACTGACCTTAGTTGGTTGGAATGGATTGGATGATAGATTAGTTAATTGCTTGTGTGGTGGATGAGAAAATTGTATAATTTATTTTTAAAAGTGTATTGGTCTGAATTTTTATTCATCATTCTTGATTAATACCAATTTGTTAGTTAGTTATTTGACTAAAAATGTTATTAATCAAGAATAAGGGATCAAAATCCTGACTCGTACATTAAAGTGATATTTAGCTCTTTTCCCGTCCGGAATTCAAAAAAAAAAAAAAAGGGAAGAAGTGAGCATTTTCCGTTAAAGCCTTGCGCAATCGATTAACATAGGAAAGGACCCGTTAAATAGAAAATATTTGCATATAATACGATTTTAAGCGGCTCAGGATTTTTACTACCTAGCCATGGATTGCGAAATATATTCAAACAAATCCTGAATAGGTTTAATTAATCTAATGTTTCTTTTGAGATGGGGAATAATATATTTTTTTCAGTTATTATTTTTTGTTTCTTTATTAATGTGAGTATTATATAAAACGAATATATGACTATTTTCCAAAAAAAGAAAGACTTAGTTTATTTTGATGTAATGTATACAAATTACTGGAGTTGTATTAATGTTATCACTGAAAATACATAGCTATTTAATTATAAGAGTTTTTTCCCTTTTTCTTTTCTTGGAAAGAAAATCTTAATTCTGGCTTACGATTTTGGAGACTTCAACATCATAGAGATAATTTTATAATTCTAAGTTTGATAGGGGCATTGTGGAGTGAAAATATTTAAAACAACATTTTGGATAAAGGAAACAAGAACGTTTTGTGTAAATAAAGGAAAAACGGATGGGACGCTGTTTATTACTTAACTGAAACATCATAATAAAATTCTCTCCTCCATCGTGAGAGCGGAAATCCAAAATGAAAATCAAAGTAAAGAATAAGAACAAATCCACAAAATAACTTAAAAGTCCAGGGAAGAAGTAATATCGAGTGGTGAGAAAATAATCCCCAGAGATCAACGTCTAAGAGAACGTACGTGAAAAAGAATTCCCACGAGAATTATAGCTTATGAATAGAGACTAATTGTAAGGAGTTAGAACAGAAAATGGCTTCAAGGTGCGTTTGGTAGATGGATCCAGAATCATGATTTTAGATCCAGGTTCAGAATTAATGTTTGTTTATAATCATAATTCAGAATTATGATTCAGATTAGTGTTTGGTTTGGATGATTCTGAATCATAATTCATAATATGATGTGATGTTTTAAATTAGCTCAAATTATGATTCTAAAACCACACCCTCTCTTAATTGAAGGTGATTCAAACCTATGATTCTGAAAATCATGATTTGAACTCAAAATCATGAATCGTGGTTTTAGTTTCAAAATCATGATTAGAATCACTCTGATTTGAATCCCCGTACCAAACGAACCCGTATTGTCCCACTTTATTTCATTTATTAAAAAAAAAAAAAAAAAAAGATTTGACATTGTTGTATATTCCAAATTCAGAAGCGCTGTATTTTGAGCAAGTGGCTTAAAAAGAAAAGAGGCCGGTTTCCTTTGCATTAAGTCGCAACACCCATTTTCGTTAGCCTCTGATGCTTTTGGACGTTACCGTATGCAAATTCATAAGAGATATGATTGTAAATGTAAGTGTTATGATGATGGTAATAGAGGAAAACGATGAAGATGAGGATGCGTACCAAATCTCGTGCGCAATTGATTGCAGTGGATAATTGAGGAGGGGCAGAGATACCATGAACATCTTATTCGAATTGGAAAGAGATGGTGATAGTGATGTGGACCACATCCTTGATTGTGAGGGGCAACTGACCCACTCACCAATACAAATCTTTACTCCAATATTATAAAATAATGACACAAATATATATACGTATATATGTATATATTATTGGCGCAGTCATAATGTTATATTTTTCGAACAAACTTGTAACATTTTGATATAACATGATAATACTAAAGCAAGTTCAATGTATAATATGGTCGTATACTCCATTTTATTGGGTATAATACTTAAACAAAATGAGTGTTGCATGGATGTAAAAAGGATGTTATAATTATGAAAGAAAAAAAAATGTTATACTGGTATGCTCGTTGGTTAGGAGACATTTCCCATATACACATATAGAATTACTATCATCGGCGATCTCTGAATTTTAAGATCATTCTTGATATGTCTATGAACTTTATAAACTCTCATTTTGTTTCATGAATTTTAAATTGTTCCCACTTAACTTTTTCTGTTGGAATTTCTGTTAAAATTATATGGGAAAAAAAGTGAGTAATAAAGTCACGTGATCTTTTTGTTTGAATATTTGTTAAAAGAAAACGGATAAAAACCACGTGTCACGCTAATCTTGTTTTTTGGGGTCTAATTTTAATTGCAAACCTTACAAATGGGCTTAAATGGGTCAAATTCAACATTTAGAAAGTAAAGTGAAAGTTTTTAAAGTTTAGAGAGTAAAAAATGAAAATGATTTCAAAATTTAGGGGTTAAATTAACCCACATATATACATATATATGTATGTTTGTATATGTACACATATGGAAAAAAATTAGTGATTTTTTTAATGGATTTGTTCTCAATTGAATCCATTTAGCCTTTTGGCTCATCTTTCTTTGACTAATCGGTACTATTAGTCCCTGAATTTTATGTATAGTGACAATTTAATCCCTGATCTTTTTAATTTTGACATATTAATATTTGAACTTTCACTTTTTAAGAATTTTAGTCCCTGCCACTAAAATTAAGGAACTATTTCTGAAATTTAACAAAAATAGTCATGTGTGGCCATCATGTTATAACTTTAAATTTTGTAGAAACAGTTACACTACATGTAAACTTTAATATTTTACACTAGCTGTAATTATTTATGTAAAAAATTTCAATTATCATGCGATAAGAATGTCATTATTTATGTTAAATTTTAGAAATTGCTCGTCAATTTTAGTGTTAGAGACCAAAACTGTAAAAAAAAAATAAAGTTCAGAGACTAATATACGTAAAGAATATACCAATTATTCTTTTTATTCCTAATAAGGTTAGAACCTAACAACAGAGGCAAGAGTTGGTAGTGAGTTCTGACTTCTAAGTTGCAATATTTAAAACAAAAGGGTTGTTTTTGTGGGTTAATAAGGGAATAAAATGAGTTCTAAACGTTCCTTAGAGATTGAACTACGTCTGTCGAGCAAAGTAGAAAGGAGACCACTACATGAGTTGTATACTTGTATTCCACTCCCTTTTACGTACGTCATACATGACCAGACACTTAAAAACACATTTGAAAACAATAAAGATTCCAAGTTTTAGAAAAAAAAAACCCAAATATAGGGCAATTAAATCATTTTGAAAAAATGGTTGTGAGGTGTTTCATTTCTTGGTTGACTAGCTTCATGATCTCATTCTCATCCCCTCATATGGTAGTATAAATACTTTTGGTGGTAGTAAACAAGAAATGAGTGCAAGAAAATGGTCATAGTCCTAATCAAATGGTTAAACCTTCAATGTCCAAAACGGCATGATGAGGATGGAAGCCCCATTTGTTTTACATTTACTTCTTCTTCTGACGGCATACATTATATATGCCATTTAACTTGGTGAAATATATATAGTGGAAACTATACAGTATAAATTATTAAATAATTTTAAATCAAACATTCCCTCATAAATATCTACTTTTGTATGTATGATTGGATGTTACAACCTTTATACCTTCCTTTACAGGCCTAAACTACAAACATTATTCCTACATCTACTAATTTTTTTTTCTTTTTTAACTAAAGGTGACGTTCCCAGATAACTATGAAGATGTAATATATTATTGCATGCGTAGAATATGAATTACTCATGAAGTGGATTCTCTATATATCTCATCCATCAGGATGAGACTCACTTAAACCTAAAGACCTTATCATGCTAGAAAGAGCAGTCTTAAAATCCCTCACGGATTTTTAAATATTCATTTGATACTCAAATTTGGTATGGATACTATATAGACGTATAATATTTGATAAGATGAAAAGTAACATCATATGAATTATGTCGCTCTCTTATGGTTATTAGGGTTGCTAAGGAAGTCCGTGAATTGCATAGAGTGGTAAAACATAAAAAGTGGATATATAATACACATGCAAATTAATAGAGGGGAGGGGAAAAAAAATTGTAATTGACAATCTGTCAATTTCTTCATCACCTTCATTTATTAGTTAGATTTCTAACGAGCTATATACTATGGCCCCGTTCATTTCACTTATTCGAATTTAGAATTCGAGTTTTACTACAGTTAAAAGCTCTCAAAACCATCACATCTAACTTTTTTACTACAGTAAAAAGCTTTCACGTAAAGTCACATTTCAACTCGAATCAACGAATTAAACGGGCCCTATATCTTGGTCCCCAAGCTGTTTTTATATCTTGGTCCCCAAGCTGTTTTAGGCGGCCAGCTTGTTAATGGCCCCTATGTGAAGTTTCTCATATGAAGTTGGACAAAATTACCACCACTACCCCTCTTGTTATGATGATGATGATGATACCATCCAATGGATGTGAAAGGGAAGGGAAAATGGTGGTGATGATGATGGAGAAGAAGAAGAAGAAGCCAAAATGGGGGTTCATTTTCCAAATAAATGAGCATGGGTTTTGTACTCAATTACACGAAGAAAAGGGACAAAAAGGAGGGCCTAACAACATTGACTATTAACTCTTCATTCCCCTTCCATAATATTAGCCCTACTCATCTCGCATCATCGTAATCTCTTGGGTTGTAATTTAGTGGCCCATTTGTGAATGTTTCACCACGTGACTTTCACGTGACACCCTATGTGACTATTTGTTTCTAGATTTTTGGACTAGGGGGTGGTGGTTTTAGAAAATTACTTCAAGAAATAAGTACCCAATTAGGGATACAAATCTTTCATATAAATTGAATCCATTTTATCTAATGAATTGATTAGTAACAAAGTCAAATACAATGTCTAGTGTTATATGGAGATTTTCTGATCTGAGCTATATTATAATGGATTAACATGCATGTTTGTGTGATTTTTTCAAACTAAGCCATAAGTATTAATGATTAAGCTTAATGAGACGTAGCTAATTTTTCATTCAATAATGATTAAGCTTAATGGGGCTAAGATAATTTTTCATTCAATAAACATTTAAATTTGGACGAATAGGTTATTATGTGCACATTTTCTCTTGAAAAAAAAAAAAACTTTGTACACATTTTCTAGAGTTAGCAAGATCAGAACGCTGTAAAGCTGGTTGCGTACACTTTTGAAACACAATTTTTCATGCCAAAAGTCATAGTGAATTGTTTATTCATAGGGATAAGATCAACAGTATTATTAGTTCCCACAAATAAAAATGAAACAAATACCAACTTTTTGACCATATGGCTATCTTTTTTCTCAAGCGAATTATATAGCATAATTTCAAGTAGACGAGACAAAAGGCACAACCTACGGAAAGTCCAACCTATAATGTCTCTGGTAAATAAAACGTTTAATTTGCACATGTAAATGCCAAATCCAAAACGAAAAAAAAATACACATGCATATTAATGGAACCTCTCAATAAATAGAACTGCCAAAGATTAAAATTTTCCTTTATATAAATACAGACATAATAGTAAGAAAGAGATAGTCCTAGACTTTTGCATAAATGAAAATGGAAGTCGGTGCATTCGGTAGAAAAACATTTAGACCAAATGTGTTATGTCATGGTCACAGATCACTCGGATCTGGTCTCCACATATAAAATCCTATCGAAACTAAAGGATACCTATATCCACTTGCCAAAATTCTTTACCAGGATAAAATATGACTATGTCAGTATCGTGTTGTTACATTATCAAATTTGTATCGTTAAATTTACAATTTTTTGTATTTTGATGTGATAAGTGACGGAGCTAGAAGATATTTTTAGTAGGATCACAATATGAAATATGAAAACACAGAAGAGATAACACAAATTTTATTGTAGTTTAATTTGAATGCTTTTCAATTTGATCAGTAGGGCGCAATGCGATTTTTGTTCACTAAGTGGGGGGTAGAGTTGAATTTTTATAAATTTAGTAGGTGAACACATAATTTTCTAAATAGACTTTATACGCATTACAAAAATAATATTAATGGAGTGATGCGCGGAACTGAACTGATGGTGACTTTACCACTAAGTATTTTTTTAGTTAGGCAACATTCAAAAACATACACGACTAGGGAAAGGATTATCTAGTTCGGCATTGAGATGTTATGAATGAGCAGACCTATTTTGACAATTATTCAAAGGGGGGGGGGGGGGTAGTTGATTTGTGCACTGTAATGATTTCGTCAATTAAAGTTTTCTCAAAACTCATTACTACACATCACCACAAGTTTACAGCCATGCATGAATTGAGACCTTCCCCACCTATATGGTCCTTGAAGCCGAAGGGGTAAGTCCTAAATTTCAAAAAAGTTAAACCCAACTTGAGGGCCCCTAAAAAAATAAAAAATAAAAATAAAAAAAAACTTCTATTTTCTCCCTGTGAAATAATATGCAATGAAAAAAAAAAATCGCAATAATTTTAGGAGAGGAAGGGCAAAAATTCTTCGTCTTCTTCGTCTGCATTCTTCTTTTCTCTCTTGCTGGCCTTTGTAATCATGACTCCTTTTGCCATCATTGCTACGAAAAGCCTTTCTCTCTCTCTCTGTCTCTCTCTCTCTCTCTCTCTCTCATTCAAAGTGCAAACAAAGACCACACACACAGATACAAACCACATCTATATCTCTCTACTTTTTTTTTTCTTTCATCTCATAATACACAGATATCTCATTGCATGAGTCATATCTCTCCTATTTAAATCATAGAAACTCTCATCTCTCAGAACCCACATTCATCTTTAGCTTCCCTTTTAACGGACGTAGTTTTTCTTGCAAAACAGAGAAAACTGAACCAAAAGAAAAAAGAAAAAAAAAATGTGTATGAACTCGTCAGAAAGGTTACCTGGTAAAACTTTCTATTCTTCTTTTCGCCGTAGACGCCTTTCTAAGCGATACAACCTTAGAGTTCATGGCCTTAACAGGTATTTTTTTTTTAAAATAAAATTCAGTTCACTGTTTTTTCATTTCTATATTTAATATATCATGACTCGTTTAATGTAACAGGTTGAGAAAATTGAAAAAAGGAGCTGATTATGGGAAGATAGTGGGCACAAAAGTAGAGATGGAAATCAACAACTTAAAGCTTTACATGGAGAATCAAAGCATTATGGAAGAGAATCAGAAGCTGAGGAAGAAAGCTCTTCTTCTTCACCAAGAGAACCAAGCCTTGTTATCTCAGCTCCAACAGAAATTCTCCCAACCAAATAATGGGAAAAGTACCATTAATAATGGTCAACATAATAACACCAAAGAAGGAAATTAGGAAGACATGTTAGGGACAACTGAGATTAATTATGGGATTTATCACTTCCTTCCATCTCTACTTTTGTTGGGTTTATTTTAGTTTTTAATGTAAGAAACTTTAGGGTGGGGAAAAAAATAAGGTTTATGGATTAAGATATCTTTGTTAGTTGTAGAATAGTATAAGTTGTAACTTTTTTTTTTTTTTTTTTGGTTTTTTTTATCATAAGCTAGTTCAGTTTATGGTACTTGACTAATGCAAATTTGGGGTCTAGAGACAAATAAGTGTAAATGAATGCAGTTATTTTTTGTTTCTTTTGTTGGCTGTTTGTATCTCCTACAAATACGTGTAGTCGATTCTTCTTTAGCTTCTGACACCCTTCTTTTTCCTTATCAATAATTCAGCAGACAGTTATTTTTTGTTTGTTGCTTTCAGTAAATAAATGCAGAGCAAATAAAACATCCTCGTCTTCCTGTTAATTATATCACCAACAGTAGAAAACAAATACACAATTGTAGAAAAAGAAATGTTGTTTCTTGATAGAGCTTGTAGTTTTGGATGAAATTGACATGATGATTGTACTTCATTTCATTCCAAGATGCTTTCTCTCTCTCCCTTGCTTTTCTTAATTGCTTCCAACATTTTGCAGTTCTACCTCAGAAACCAAAGTATGTGGAAGAGATACTTATGACAGAGAATTCCATATATGCCAGGACATAGTTTTGAACCGTAGATCTAGTTAGGATCGTAATTGATCAAGAAAAGTGTGACAGTTTAAGAGGAAGTTGATAAAATCTGAAGGATTTTTTTTTTTAGGGACAACTCAAATCTCAACTATTACTAACTGATATGTAAAAATGACGACTCATACGCTATATCATCAGTTGATACACAAGAGTTGTAAATTAAGTAATAATGTCTCTAGCATTATTATTATTATTATTATTATTATTATTTTCATACCCTTCAATGGAGTTGTCCCCAAGAATACCCTTAGTGCAACCAAAGAAATCACACTCTAAAATTTTGGCCTTTTGCAAACTTGCTCGATTATAGATACTCAGTACGGTCTTCCTTCAAGCCGCTAAAACATAAAAGTTATTTGATAACTTAATTAAGATTACGAACTTTTTAATATGTATAACCACATTCCTACTTTAGGAAGGAGATATTCGGATAATACCAGTAAACATATGAAAGCACATTAAAACTGTTTAAGATACAGATAACTGACTATAGGAGAAATTTCAGTGCCAAAGGCATCGACATCTCACATCTGTAGAGTAATACCAAACACAGTATAATCTGCCTTACAATGTAACATCATGAAATTTATTTTATGAAGAAAAAGAAAAACCTAAAAATATAAATAGAAATAAAGTACATGAAAAGGAAACCTAAGGTTTGAAGACAAAACCTGGTGATCAATAGCGATCCACCAAGATGAAATCATCATCATCAAGGACCTTGACATCTTTCTCTCCTACAAAATTCTCCCTCCCGATTTTCTTAACCAAGTTGACAAATTCTACCCTTTTTGCCAGAGGAAGAGGGACATAAGGAAGCCTGAATACTGGCCTCACAACCCCAAGTTGAGCAAGGGCTGTGTTCAAGGGAATGGGGTTTGGTTCTTGGAAGAGCCAATCCATAAGAGGCAGCAGTTTCGAGTTAAGGGATGGCTTTTTCCCTCCAAACATGAGTTCATGCATTAAACCTGGAACCAAGTTGCTAGTGACAGATATGACTCCTGTGGCTCCATGACCCCACCTAGCATCATGGCATTGATCATCATTTCCGCTCCACACCACGATCCCCTTGGCCGTGTACTCTTCTACCCGATCATTTCCTACACATTCCTTGACACCCGCCAAGTTAACACTTTGAGCCACTCTGTGAATGACTCTTGGGGGGATATCTTGGCCAGTTCGTGATGGCACATTGTATATGATAGTAGGGCCCATGGAAATCACGCTATCAAAATGCGAAACCAATCCATCCAAGGAGGTTTTGCCGTAATATGGGTTGATGTGCAGAGCAGCATGCATTCCAACGGCAAAACCCTGTTCGGTAGCATGAATTGCTTCCCTTGTGGAGTTGCTTCCGGTGTTTCCAATCACCTTGATTGATCCACCGAAACAGTTGACGGTATGGCCAATGAGCATAATGTGCTCATCCCAGCTCATTAATTGGCCCTCACCAGTCGTGCCACCCACAATCACACCTTCAGCTCCGTTTAAAATCTGCACATTCACCAAGGCATCGTAGGCTTCAAGATCAAATCTTCCATCAGGTAGATACGGGGTTTTGATGGCTGTTATCAATCTAAGTGACTTTATGTCTTCTGCTGATGTCCTGCAAACAAACACCATATATGCATTGGTTCCAGTAACTTATGGCTAATGGGGCTATATGAAAAGAATTGTCATATGTACTGTTTATAACTTTACATAAAACCTAAACAAAGAAAACCATCACCTGTGTCATGCCAACTTACATAAGTGTACAAATTTGTCTAATTTCAAGTGCACGTATGAAATTTACCTGTTTTCTTTCTTAAGTGTACAAAGTTGTCTAATTTCAAGTGCACGTATGAAATTTACCTGTTTTTAACTTCAAAACTACGCATAGGAAGATGAAAGTTGGGTATTATAGCTGCTTGTGGAGATCTCCATTTTGCATTCCTCCTGTTTCATAGCAGTTGAACACATTACATAAACAAACTACACAAATATGGATATTTGTCAAAAAACAACTGATATCCTTCCACTTTACACTGGAATTGATTTGCTACCGTTTAAACATCATCAACAATAGACCAGAAAGTAAGTCAAATTCTTTCTTGCAAAAATGGAACTAGTAAATTAGTATCAAGCAAAGTTCAATTAGCATGAACGTGCAAAAGGGTGCGAGAGGAAAACAACGCTAAGAGACCACCTAGTATATATAAATACACACAGACACACACACACACCCCTGTTCAGCGTGTAGATGGAACTTTACAAACACAAACACAAACACACGTAAAAACCCGCGTTTCTCTTCTTTCAACAGTTTCACCAAATAATAACAGTCGCATGGCAACAGAAGTAACAACAGCATGTTGAGAAATATGTATAAATAAATAAATACAATAAACGCAAAATATTAAATTGTGAGAGAGGATATTTTTAGGCATCCACTATTCCCTTTAGGCAGCTTTGATAACAATATCAAATTCAAATGCTAAAAAGAGGACGAAGACATACTCTAAAGTGAAAAAACACTTTCATTACCACCCACTTTTTTAAAATTAGTAAATAACGCTTGCAACGTTACCCTTTAATCTTAATACATACACCAGAATGTACAATTTTAAGGCTCCGTTCATTTCACCAATTCAAGTTTAAAATTTTAAAATTTGAGTTTTGTTACAATAAAAAGTTCTAAAAACAGTTATATTTAACTTTTTTATTACAGTAAAAAATCCTCCCGTAAAGTCACATCTCAACTCGAATTAAAAGTTATAATCGCAAAGTGCAAACAAATAATCATCTCGACTCTGGAGTTATCTCATTCCCAGCATGAAAAAAAGGAAAGCTTACATGATTTTTTCTGATAAAAACAAAACTTTCTCCTATGTTTTCAAAAAACCTACTCATCAAAATAAAATATTATATATAAATATATATATATATATATATATATTCAAATAGACAACTGAGAATTATAATTCAATTTAAAACACAACATCAGAGAACGGCATAATTTTATAAACCTCTTGTAGCTATCACCATAGCTGTGACGCGGAAGCTGGAGAGCCGGCTCTCGGAAGCAAACGGCGCAGCTCTTCAAGGTAGCCATTCCCGGACAAGACTAAGAAATCAAACTCAGAACAGAAACTGGACAAAAAAAAATGCCAATGCTGTGATCGTAGCAGACGAAGTTTGCGCAGATCGAGGTTTGGAATTTCAGTTAATGGCGACGGTGATAACGGCAATGGCGGTAGAAATCGACGTTGAAGTAATTCGAGAAACGAAGTGGCGGCCGGAGGTGGTTAAGGTTGCGGTGGAGTTCCCGGCCATGGCGGCGTCTGGTGGAGGAAACGGGTAAAGGGTTGAGAGAGAGAAAGGTCAGTGATGGTGGCTGCTGGCTGCGAAGCGAGAGAAAAGTAAGGCCAATGAATGACTGTGAGGGTTTTGTTTGGGGAAGATTACCCACGAGGGTTTTCTGTTCTTAATTTATTAATTTTAATTTTAAACTTAATCGTTACCTTATCTTATCTTAATAAAATTATTTTGAACCGTCAATTTGTATCATACTTGGGAGTTTTACATTTTTTTTTTAATTTTAATATGATTCATTGAGATCTAACGCTTAGCCCCCAATAAAAAAGCCTTATGAGAAATCTTAAAAACTTAAATCCTTTAATAGAAAAATATTTTTTAAAGGAAATTGCATGAAATATTTTATTATACTGCGTAATTTTTTTTTGTTATTGAAATTGATATAATCCCTTTAAAAAAAATGATAAATGGTATAATACTGTGGTAGCACCAATAGAAAATTTTTCTCTTAATCATACTAAAGAATCTTTCAAAAAGTCACTTATCTATTGTGTTTTTAACTTGTGTGCTAAATGTACTTCGAATATTTTTTGAGTGATACTTTTTTTTTTTTTATCTTTTTTCAGCCAAAAAAAAAACTTTTTGGACAAGTTCTTTATATGATATTTGCTTCCCACCAAGTACATGTGTTAGATAAAATATGTTGTTCTTTTAAAAATAAATTAATATACGGAAAAATAACCTTTTTAACAGCATCGTTTTATAAATGTTCCAATTTTTTTGTTCAATTAGAAAAAGGACAAGTTATGGTAAGGGCAGTAGTTTTCTCCTATTTATAAGATACAAAATTATTAACTATTTGATTGATTTTCAATGATTCAGATTAAAAATATACACTAAGTTATAAGTATAAAATAGACTACACCTGATTAATTAACAAAAAAAAAAATCTTCAAACCCAGATGCAGCCAACTCCTTCCACCACCTAAAGGCTTAAATTTACTCTTTTGAAAAACTTAAAAGTATAATTTTGGATAGTTTAAAAACACAAAGGGTACTTTTTAGATTATGAAAAATACAAGACAAATGTATGATTTACCTAAAACAGAGTGACTATTTTTTAGATTTTCTCAAGGTAGTTGTTTTCCAGGAGAATGAGGGAAATATGCCAAAATTAATTGACTATTAAAAAAAATGGCATAAAAGTTTGTTCTTAGAAGTAAATAGCATAATTTTTGTAAATGCACATTTACAACCAATTAAAATTCCTAAAATACCCCTTATTCTTCTCCTCCTCCTCACCTTTCTCACAATTTGTACCTTTTGCCGGAACCATCGTTAGATTCAGAATCTTTGCGAATCCGTTGTCGTCGCCATCGCCATCGCTGGAGCATTCACTGAAGTTATAGTCCTTGCCGGATCTATCGCCAGAGCAGTCGTCGGAGTTAGATATATCGTCAAAGTGACGCTGGATATGTCATCAGAGCCGTCGTTGGATCCGTCGCCAGAGTCATAATATTTACCAAGAGTCTTTTGGTGAATAGGCCATTTAAAAATGTTACAGTTTACGGTACATGATTCATTTACTTCTTTGTAAATGATCCATTTAGGTGGTAAATTTTTCATTTACCAAGAACATAAAATGTTTGGATGGTAAATGAAACATTTACCATGTAAATTACGTATTTATTGTCAGTGGTCTAAAAATTAATTACTTCAAAATGCAATTACTTCGTCGTCTAACCTCCTATAGTTGTGACTCTTGTTCCTATGTACTCTTAGTGTTAGATGAACAAAGCCCATACCACAATTAACCTCGATGCTTGTCGGATCACGCTGCTCGAGACTTACTAGAGTTTTGGTTTTCTTCTCACGAAATTTGTTGCTTTTGGCATCGTCGGCGTACATCTCCGATCCCATTACACTCAGACTTTCACGGAGAGTAAAAGCCCCAACCTAATTACTCCAAACAACCACCAGAAAGAGAGGATCAACAAGTGGAAAAGAGAAATATAAAAGAGAGAGAGCAAATAACAACGATTAACGTCGCCATTGCGATGCTCACTGCCTCAACAATGAAGGCAATGAACTCGATGGCGATGACATTCTATCATGATGTCAGAGAAAGAGGAGAAGAGAGAGTTGGTTAGGAGAAGAGAAGGAGATAGAGATGGGTAGAGATGAGAGAATGAAACAAATCTAGATGAAGAAAAAAAGAGAAAATAAAGGACAATTTTGTCAAATTAAGTTCAAAACTACTATTTATTTCTATCAAACTTAAAATTGCTATTTCCAATAATTTGGCTCTACAATTTCCCTTTTCTTCCTAGCCCGTGGAGGTTTGGGTTACATTTGCTAAAATGGGCCGAAGCCAGCAGAGCAAGGCCCAATCAAATTAAGGAGAAAACCAGATCATATTAGTAATGAATCAAATTTTGCAAATACCATTTAAAAATTAACAAAATCATCTAAGATCTATGTAAAAGGGAGAGACAATTAGTCAAAGAAAGATAGCACAAATTATGTTATTCTATGCAACCTATCGTTCTTTATTGGTCTCCTTTTTCCCTAACATAGAAGTTGGCTAAGATCATGTGGGTCACTTAACTACTTCAAATTATAATCATTTATGTCCTACCAAGGTTATAGTAAATTGAGTTGCAATTGTCCTTTTTAGAGGCTAGACAAGATTTGTATTTTTTTTTTTTTTTCAAATTACTTCCTAAACTAGTGCCACTTTTAGCTCTAGGAATTAAAAAAAGTTTTCATCAAAAGCAATGAAAGTCACCCTTTCAACACAGCCCTAATCATAGTGCTAACCTCATTTATGAATTGAATTATTTATCTCATCCTCCAACTCATTAAGTAAACCTTTTTAAGGTTGTCTCATTAGAAGGATGAGAATTTTTTTCTCCAATCAACCACGCTAGGGTCCAAATTGGAGGGAGACTGGCAGTAGCGGAGGGAGGTGGGGCCCAGAAGGGGGGAGGGGGGGCGGCTATTATATTTCTTCACCTCTGTTTTTTAAAAGTTTTTCATATATGCCCTCCTTTATTAGTAAAAATAATATATCTAAAAAAAATCCAATCTCAATTGTTTTCACTTTCTTATTATTCTTTTGGTCTTTTTTGTATTAACTCTTATACTTTTAAATGTGTCTAATTGAATTATTTTTTTTCTAATTTAGTCCTACGAAAATATTTTTATTTTAAATTGGTCCCTTCTAAAATATTTTTTTATATAATAGTGAGCCTCATAAAAAAAAAGTTTGTATGATCCATTGAAATATTTGTTGTCAAGTGTGTCCATAACGAAGGATTTTTTTTAAACAACCCTCTCAATTATTATTTTTCATACACATTTTCTCAAATTTTCTCTTGTTAAAGTATTTTTTTTTTCCCTTCAATTGAGTCCCTATGTACTTGAATAAAATTTTTATTTTTTACGGTACTTCCAAGTACTATTTTCTCATATGTATTATGTATGTACCTTCTAAATTATTATTTTTTATCTAATTTATCTGTAAAATCTTTTTTATTAGAATATGTTCTACGTATCTATACATATAAAATTTAATCCAAAAACATATTCTAATTGAAACATACATTCCAATCCATTTTACTTAAATATATTCTGGTTACTAAACTAAACTTTTTAATGAGTAATAAATTCAAACAAGAAAAAACTTAAACTCTTCAAAATTTTGAATTCAAATATTAAAAAAGTTTAATAAACTGATCAATATACACATTCATAACATGCTTCCAACAACTTAATAGTATGCCAAAAAAAAAAAAAATAGTATTAAGAGTTGATTTTGTTAGCGTTTTTAATATTTTAACATTTTTAGTCTTATTAAATATGGAAAATCCCTGGAGGAATGCCCTTTTAGCAGTGGAACATATAGATTTATATCTTTTTTTAGACACGAAAATTTTTATCATCACCTCCTTCTCTATAAGTTAGATTAAGAGAATATATTGAAATTCTAAAACAATAGCACAAGATGTTCTCTAATTTTCTCTTAAAACCTATTTGGTCAGGACGATAAGAGAGGATAAAAGAACTGAATTAGGATGAGATTTTAATACATTATTTGGTGAAAAATTTTAAAAGATTGTTTATGCAGTCCATGACTGAATCCCCTTGGAGCTATCTTAGCTGAAGATTGGGATTAGATCATTAAACACATTTTCTTGTACTACCTTATCATTTGTTTTTGGATATGGTAAATCAACTTCCGATTGACAAGGTCATGGCCTTTGGATTTTTGGAAATAGGTGGTAGGCACGTGCCAATTCGTAGTTAAAAATTTAGGTGGCATAATGAAAATTCAAAACTTACAAAATTTAGAGCGACATTCTAGATTTGTAACTACATTAGTATTCTTGACATTTTAGGGAAATGTTACTAAAAACATGTTTTAGTTACATTTTGAAACTACTTTTTGTTGTCGTGGGGAGAAGAATAAGATGAGAAATGTGATGCAGTTAATCTTAAAAAAGAAAGCATGAGATTTAACAGCAATCCAAATTTTTCCCATGTCTCTCTCTGCGTTTTGTTTATTCAAAGCCCTCTACGTTTGTTGTTGGGCAGTATAATTCCGATAACAACAACAACAATAATACTACATAAATAAGATAACAGTTTGATTGGTGTTGCGTATTTAGTACATGTATTATAATTTTAAGAAAGGTCTTTGGTCTTTGGTCTTTAGTCAGGCGCTTTCTATGCAGCCATTCGATTGAAAATGGAAGTTCGGATTTTGCTAAGAGTATATGCTACGATTTGGAAAGGGAATTAGACTCATAGGATGTGAACAAAAAAAGAAGCCGAGGTGAATAGGGTGATGAGTCATCTATAAAGAAATAAAAACCCATTTAAAAGTTTGGATTTCTCTGATAATCTTTGCAAAAATAGACTAGCAATAGTCTCTGACTTTTAACCGTCAAAACTATAACAGAATTTGTCTGTTCTGTATTATTTTTTTAATCTAATGTAATTTTAATAAGATATAATGGTCAAAAATTAGAATTACCGATAAAGGGAACTACTATAGAAGCTCGCAATCAACTTGAAAAAGGAAATAAACAAGACCTGAGGCATTTGTATGTTTCCTTTAATAATATTGCGCATGTTATTTGTGGTCTTTCCCCCTCATCTCTCCTTCTTCGCATCAACAAGTAGACCAGCCAGCATAAAAAAAAAAAAAAGATTATTGAGTCTTCTTTGCAAATCTAGCAGTGAAATAAACTTGTCTTTTTATGGATTGAGTGATTAAATTTCTTGTTTTTAATGATTATTGAGTATGAATTTAATTTTTCATTACTATTATATTTTTTATTATTTTATTGACATTTTTTTAGGCTTACGCCCTCTGATTCCGCCTTTTAAAACCTTGGTTATTATAATAAAACCATTTAAAGACCTATATATGGATAACAAAATCAAAATTTCACCATCTAATATAACATCATAAATGCTAAAACTATTTTTTTTATCACTCTATACATTACTTAGATTCTACTAACATGATATATTATTATTTAAATAGAAAATGAGATAGTAGAATCCACATATCAAATAATAAATGCAGAAAGTAATAAAAAGAGTCACGTAAAAAATAAGACTTAACATTTCTCAATATAACATTAGTTACTTGATGAAAACAGCCGAGGACCACTCAAGCGAGCAGTTTTTTTATTCCTCAACCTGAATACTAAAATCAATTATCTAAGGCACGCCCTCAAGTAGATAACTGTAATCAAATCTAAATCCATATCATGCCACACATAAGAACAAAGTATAAAATGTAAACTTGGCCGAATGGAGGGGGGGGAAAAAAAAAAATATATATATATATATATATAATATATATCAGAAATCCCATTTTAAACTTGTTGAGCTCAAGTAAATACTTGTAGTTATTACTCATTCACAAGAAAGGTGATGTGGGAACTCAACAAAAGACAGGCTTGGAATATTGGTTGGTTCCTCTCCTCTAGTATATAGGACTACTTGTGCCAAAAAAAAAAAACAAAAGTGACAAGGCATAACGTAAAAATCGCACCAGGGCATTTAAGTTACAAACTCAGTGACAAATAAAAATTGTGCAAGAACAAGTATTGCTTCTATTGATATCTAATACTCAATAAGTAAACAGAAAATCTCGGTAATCAAATTCCAAAGTTGCAAACTATACATATACCATATCCAAAAATAACTTAAAAAACAAAAAACAAAAATCATGTTCCTTACGAAGATTACTAGATTCCTCTGCTGTTGCTAAGGATGGAGCCGAGGGTGCCGAGGACAGCGAAGGCGAGGAGTGGGCTGACGTCAAGGGTGTCAAAAACTGGAGGGATAATGTTGCGGAAGAGATTGAGATAAGGATCACAGAGGTCGCGGATGGCGGAGAGGGGCTGGCGATCCCAAGGGATGTTGGGGAACCAGCTGAGGAGTACTCTGACCATCAGAACTCCGCTGTAGATGTCGAGCCACTTAGCCAGCCCCGCCGCCACAACCGTCAGTGGTGTGTTCAGGTAGGTACTCTGCCGGTCCCTCACTGCTGCGAAGAACGCGGGGCCCACAGCGGGGCCCAGCGATTGGGAAACTCCAACGACTGCGGGGATTGAGAAAGAGAGCTTGCGGATGATGGCGATGGCGAGGGCGAAGAGGACGGTGAGAGGATGGTGAGGGTTAGGGTTAGTGGAGGAATTGGAGGATTTTGATTTGAGAGGTATTGGGGCGCCCTGGGAGATGGCTCTGCCCAAATTGGACAGAGTAAAAGTTCCTGCAATGATTCAACTTGATCTATTCAAAAAAGAGCACCATAGAAAGCAAGAGACAAAAAATATCTGCAAAGACATTTGATAAAGAAGACCTGAATTGTACTCGTGAGGCTGAAGTAGCTTTGAACGGGCTTTCTCCACCAGCTCCTTCCACTTTTGAGATAAAAGATACAAATCCATCTGTGCTAACAAACACAAGTTACTCGCTAAGTATTGAACATAATCTGTTATATAAGGGTACACGAGGTTTATTACCGACAAATATAAGAATCCTAAAAATGGGCAACCATGTAATTTTTTGTGGGAGTGCTCCTTCATGTTGGAACTTAATGTGTTGTGTTTATTGCTCCAAAAAACACAACAACCATGTGTGTGTGTGAGTGTGTGTGTGTTTATTGCTCAAGAAAACACAACAAACATGTTATTAGTTCATAAACCATTTAAAGACCTGTATATGTCTCTCCAGTAAAATCATGTCACGTCAATTAAAATATTTTAACTGTTACAACTTGTTATGACTTTTTAATTGATGTGATATTAAATTTTAATTGACATGACATTTAATTGACGTGTTATAATATTATTGGAGGGACATAAAAAGGACAAAAATGAGAGGATATAGGAGTTTGATTCCATTAAAAAATAAAAAAGAGTTGAAAATCTTTGAATAAAATCACTTTAAGTCTCAGTTATTTATTTAGCCAAAAAAAAAGTCATTCATTGGTCGTATTTTATCGGATTTTTATTTTATTTTATAAAGAAACACATTTAGAGCCCGTTTAGTTCATGCATTTGAAACCATAATTTTGATTCAAATACAATAATTTTCTCTCACAAAAAAAATTGAACAAAATAAATTCCCGCTAATGGATTCTCTCACAAAATTTGAATTCAAAATAAAAATTATTGGCTTAAACACGTGAATCAAATGGGCAATTAGTTAGTAGTAGGGACGGTAATATGGGTCACGACACGACAACACGACTCGAAAATGACAAGAATTTCGCGGGTTAGGGTTGAGAAAAAAGAAGTTCGGGTCAGAATTGAGTCGACCTGAAATTGACACGAAAAACACGGGTCAATTTCGGGTTGGATCCGCCTAACCCGAACACGACACTCAACTCGTAAAAAACTAAAAAATACATATATTTTTCATTACATATTTTTTATTTTATTATGAACTTGAGACATCATGATAGTTATATTCAAAATCTTATACTATTATTTGCTTAATTTCAATGGATGTTATTGTAATTTAGTATGTTATGAATTTTAAGTTATTTCTAATATGTAAAAAATTAAATAAAAGTATATAATTTTCGTGTCAATTTCGGGTTCACGGGTCAATTTCGTGTCGTATCGTGTCAACCCGTAAAGTGGTCGTGTCATGTTCGTGTTGCGATTTTTAAAAAATTTCATGTCACGGGTCGTGTTCGGGTTGACTGCAAACTTAGAAAGAAACGATCAAAACACAACACGAACACAACATGTAACATGAATTGCCACCCCTAATTAGTAGTCAGTAGTCACCAAGAATTTAGAGCATCTCCAATGCAAATGCTAATGCCAATTATATATTTAGCATCAAAAAATATGATATGGTATGTTGTTTTCATTTTTGCTCTTATGCATAATGCTATTTGAAATGCTAAATCTATTTTTTCCCACAATCATTAAGCTTTGAAAGTTGTAAAAGTAAACTTTTATTTTTAAAGTAATTAGAAAACGCAAAAGTTGCAATGATTACATAAAAAAGTAAACATTTCAACTAATAACAATCAAATGCCAAATTTTTTATATGCTATACTTGGTGGAAAATTCGTCACAAAGTACAACATATGGGAAATTTGGCCCAACAAATAGCACTGCATTGAAGAGTGTTTTTTGCATTCAAGTGGCTACTATTAACTCAAGCATATTAAAAAATAAGTTAAACAAGCAAAAACCCCATTTATAAGGTACAGAGAGACAACTTTGAACCCAACTGTTTTCTTAAGATTTTACTTGGATAATTAAGTGATTAGAGAGATTGCAGCAAACTGGCTGAGTAGTGAGTGCACATCCTAACCTCACCTAAAGTCAACAGTAACGCTAGTTTTGGACTTTTCAAAAGATTATTTATCACCACAATGGTAAAAGGGCTTACATATTAGATATCCTTAATTTTGCAGTTCCAATACCATGTTCCTCCACAAACTATCTGAGTTAATATTAGCTCTTACAATATAATCTACTAACTGGAAAAATGTCTGATCCTTCGCAACACAGAGATTCTTTTGAATCAAATGCATAACCTCTTAATCTAAAAAAAGGTCTCTAAAGGAGCAGGACATGACAGAGTAATCTTTAAATGTATAAATTGTAACGGTAGGAGCTAATTAATAAGGTTATACTATGCTCTCCTTCTTATATGCAATATTCAAACCAAAAACAAATTTTGTTTAGCTTTTCATTTCTCTTTGGTTATGTTTTTAACTAAATAAAGGCCTTTTTAAAATGGCATGGGAATTATTCTTAATACGCAATCCAAATGGATCTGATAATTCCTAGCTTTAGAGGGCAATTCAATTAAACAAGGCATTATAATAAAACTATTGAATCAAGGCCTCAACTCCTGTTACACAAAACCCTGTAAACTACCCATAGTTATTTTCAATCTTAGCATGTCTAGTCTTGGAACCTACCAGCTCTTACTACAGAGCCTTATATCTCTTTTGTAATGTTAGTTAGATTCCTGAATGTTTTGGGATTTCAAGCAACTAATGAACTGGAGTTTTATCACAAGGTCCCCTATATAAAATTCTGGAAGAAAAATAATGCGTAGTACTATTATATCAGCTATAATAGCCCCATGAACATCAACCAAACTTTCAGCGCAGTACTAATTGTCACAAGGAGCAGAAGACTCTACTCAATCTGTAAAATAAGGAAAACCTAGCGTTAGTGTTTAATTCATTTCAACTCACCTGGCATATAGCATCGAATCTATCCACTCCAAACATGCCCAAATTGGACAGAGTAAAGGCCTTGTTGGACTCCACGACGACGACGCAGACGCTCTCGCCTTTGGAGAGGACGTCGCCCTCGGACTTTACCCGAGACACGATCTTGCCCTCTGCCGTGGTGGAGCTGAGCGCCGGCATGAAGATCTCCCTCCTCCGCCGCCGCGGAAATGCCGCCGAGGAGAGGTGCGGAAACCGCCAAGGGAGGGAGGCGGAGATGGAGGAGGAGAATGAGACGGTGGGGACCATTGTCGCCTGCGCGAGGAACGGAGACGCCATTGGAAAGAGGAATAGAGAGAGAGAAAATGGGGTTCGGTTCCAGTTGGGTTTGGGGGCGCGGATGAGAAGTGTTGGTCCTTTTTTGTACGGATTATTTATAATACTCCTTTGAAATTATGCCTTTTTTTTTTTTTTTTGAAATTATGTTATTTTAAAGTAATTTTTGTATTATACTTTTAATTTAATTAATTAAATAAAAAGCTTATTCATTTTGAGAAATTATTATGGGTGGTCTTTTTTAATCATCTATTTTCATAAATGACCAGATTTTTTTTATTTTATGAAAATGATCGTTTTGTTTATATGAGTTAATTAGTGATTAATTAATTAACCGCAATCAATCAGTGATTGATTTATAGTCAATCATGATTGATCGTTTCATAATTAATTTATCAATAATTTATTATTAATAAACATATAATTTATTGATTGAAGTTGATTAATTAATAATTAATTTTAGTTAATATAACACCCTGAAGAATTAATTGAGATTAATTAAGGTAATTGAGATTATTAGTGTGTCTAATCTGGATTATTAATTGAGTTTAATTAATAAATGTTTCTGACACGTGTGAGTTTAAATAGTTCCAAGGTATTTAAATTATTCTCAGTAATTTATTTTAAATCAGAAGTGTGTATGGGCGCATTTCTGGACTACTTTTTTAAAATACTGTACACATGTCATTTTCTTTCCTTTTCCTTTTCTTTTCTTTTTCCTTTTTCCTTTCCTTTTTCTTTTTCCTTTCTTTTTCCCTTCCTTTCCCGTGTGTCTCTCTCTCCCTCACTCTCTCTCTCACTCTCCCGTGCTCTCTCTCACTCTCTCCCATTTTTGTCCCAAATCAAACGGATCTTGAACCAATGAAAGATTTAAAGAAGTTTTCAACGTCAAGAGAAGGATTCGAGGTAAGATTACTGAAAGAACCTCTCTTGAATCTCAAGTTTTTGAATTTCAAAACTTACTTTTGGTTCAAACCGGATTTTGATGGTTTTTGAGTAAAACTAGAGTAGAAATTGGAGATCTTGGGTTCTTTGGACTTGTTTTAGGACCTAGAACCCAGATCTAGTGATTTTCCTTTGAAATATCTCGATTTGGGACTAGATTTGTAGGTTTTGGAATGATTTCTGTGAGCTTCTTTGGCGCAGCTGATTCCACCGGTCGACCTGTGCGGTCGACCGGATCACATGGAAACCGGTCGACCGAACTGTAGGCTGACCGGTCGACCGGTGTGCACACCACCGGTTGACCGGTAGTGTTGCATTACTCTGTCACCGATTGACCGGTTGACACGGGGTTTGACCCTGTTTGGCCTGAAATTGCTGTTTTTTACCCCTGTTTTTAGGGAGAACCCAAATTAGCTTCATTTGGGGACTTGAGATAATGGATTAGCATTGTTAATCCTCGATTTGAGATTGAAAACCCTTGGAATGATATTTTGAAACATGAAAATGGATTAGGGCACACTAATTGGAAACCTTGGTATCTAATTGAGATTGGATTGCTTTAGGAATGAGAATT